CGTTTGATTGTTTTTCCATCAGGTACGGAAACATGGCGCGGAATATGGAATCGCAAGCGCATTGCTCTCTGCGTCGCAATGACTGAACGGCCATTTTCCAAAAAAGAGCGCACAGCGAATCCACGATGTTCTCCAGTCCAAATCATGATGTTAACTGAAAACGGTTGAGAACAACCTTCCTAATGAGACCCTGCCCAACAACCTACTCATGCCATCTGGTGAGCAACGGATTTTTCAAACTCGGGCAAACCTTTCGCCGCACCCTGTATATTGACGGCGAGCGGATTCTGTCGCAAGTCGAGGTGCTTTGTAGCCGCTACAATCTGCACAAATAAAGACGTGGCGTTTCCGACGAGACGTAGCTAGCTAGCACGCGTTAATAGTTATAATCAATTAAATTAGATCCGGCAATCACTGCTGTCAAATAGCAGAAGTATCATTACGCAGATTGACCTTCAAATTTTAAGCGAAATAAGAACCGCTTCGGAGATTAGTCTTGATGGTCTCGCGCCTTATCAGCATACACTTAACACTGCATGCAATCACTTAACACTGCATACCTACCAGCCGCAGCGTCTGCCACTGTGCGCGAAGGCCAAGCCCTTACGTCACTCTACCGTCTATAGAAAAGTTCATAACTCCTCTCATTTTTTTGCTGTATTAATATTTGAAATTGATTTAGTAACTCCGCGTCTTCTTAACTTACTGTGCTACCGATCATGTTCTGTATAATAAATGATTATATATTACGCGATTTTCATGTCTCATGTGCGATTTAGATAAGTTAAAATTTTCCGTTCCATGAGACAGATGTGCATGATCCATTTCTCACCAAATCTTAGGTACCTGAGAATGCTGTGAAATTCTAAGTCTGTTGGTTTTCCTATCGAAAATGCTGACCATCGCCACTACGAAGAAAAAAAAGAGATAAAAACTAGCTTGTAAGTAATAATTTCATCCTTGCGGCTGTATGTCTTTCCCGAATCTTCGTCAAAAGTAGTAAAAATCTTCGTCACCATTTTGACGAATAATAAAAGTCTACAAAAGTATGCTTTTTCTCTATCTTGCCGAAAGATATCCCGAGCTGGTTTTCGCTCTCGACGTTTCGGTTATCCTAACATTTGTGTTTAGGATCCCTCTTTTTTAAATCGAACTCCTCAGGCCTATATCTATCAGCGAGTGCCTTTCTTTTTATATAAATAGCCGGTCTCTCAAAGTACAAGATTCCTCAGCCGTCAACCTGAGTTTTTTCAGTCGGGCCGCTTATTTTCCTTTCCCAAGGCGACGTACTCTTTCCAACTCCATACATTGGATTAGCCGTCATCAAATTTAAGTATATCTTTGTAAGTCAGTAATAATAATCAAGTCAATACGTAAATACGGCGTGGCGTAAGGTTTCATACAAATACTTTAGATTGTAAAGAAAAATCAGTTGCCGCCTCGAACAAAAACAAGTTAAATTTCCACCGCAAAATTAATAAAGTGCCTTTTTGTTTACTTTTATTGATTATTGTTTTTTCTTAAAAGCTTAAACTCATCCCATTGATCCCACATAAAACCACGAATATAGTTTTCAGTAACCTTCCCTCTCGGCTTATTTGGCCAAATAACACGGTGAAGCTGCTCGCGCCGCGCGTGTCGAGACGTGACAATATCTTTCCGAAATTATTTTCATATTTCGTAGTACTGTACTGTTTACATATGCATATTGAATTATAACCTCCAAAACTTAAACTTTCTGCTTGGTACAACAGCTGTCATATATTTGTAGATTAAACTATTATGAACAAAAAATTTTTGTATTATTTTGCAGAAAACTAATAAATTTATGAGTTATTAATTAAAGACATTTCTATTTGTAAAATTTTAAATAATTAATAACACGGTTTTTTGCGTGTTGTCTGCAAAAAAGTACAGAAACTTTTTGTTCACCTTAATCCGTTTTACCTTCATACTAGGTTTGTCCATGTCGATTTGGAACACTTTTTACATGAACGTGTTGAATTAACAAGAACAATTTTGGCAAATGCCCCATTAGTCATATAGTGTGTGAATATTTTTAGCTTACATTAACTACAAGAAATGCATGTAGGCAGAATATACCAAAATAGATCATCAGACCAAGTAACAATTAATTGAATGTATCTTCTATGATTTGACTGGACCTGCAATAATAACTCCTCTTTAGTTAATGACATCATTTTACGTGCTGTTTAATCTTTGTATGAATCTTTGTAGGAATCTTTATATAATGAAAGTCGAATGTTCGAATTCCGTAACTTCGTTGCCACGATGATGGATAGTTAATATATAACATCATATTAACATTTTCACATAGGTAAGTTATGTTCGTTTAGTATTTTTAAATTACAATTACAATTTTTAATTACAATTTTTTAATATTTTGTGGTCCGCTCTACAATATAATTGAATCTTTAGAGACGTACTAGTCCATTGACCAAACGTATCACGCCAATTTTGATTTTATGGGCAGATTATCATAATGTTTATTATGTAAGTATCATAATGATGTACCGATGTAGGAACAATAACAATAAATTAGTGATAAATTAATATTATAAATATACATTTCAAAAATATTTTAACTCTAATAAACCCTTTTATATCAGTATTTATTGTAATGCACTGAATGATATCTAAATGTAGGCCATAGGTCAATTTTCTTGACTCTACCTTGACGTAGCGCGAGTCCTCCATACGGTGCGTGGACTGCAATTTATTAATAGTCTGATTATTTTTTCTTTTTCATGGTCTGTTTTTGTATAAATTTATGTTTAGTAATACCTCAACTATACATTTTTGTTTCACCGCATCAGTTGTATACTAACACTTTTACTGTAGGTTCCATTATGTTGTGTGTAGGTTCCATAATGTTGTATTTGTTGCTCACTTATTAAAAAATCCACTAAGCTTTTATCTTAGTCAATTTTGATTAGCAAGTAAGACAGATATATAGCCTGCTGACGTTTTTAATAACTACAACATTTTTATAATGGTAAATAAATGTATATGAAATATTTTCGCGAAATATATATTTACTAAGCAAATTTATAATAAATTCTACAGGTTTTGGATAAACTAATTGCTGAAACTGTATTTATTATGTTATACTCTGTCATAGAATGCTCATGAAATAATTATACTATATGATTAAGAATAAAGTTTTCAGTAACACGATAAATTTAATAATGCACCCTTATATCACATAACGTACGCTGCATAAAGTTGCCATCGTCATGGGAAATGTTTTTCCAGCCGTAATGTGGAGTGGTTTATTCGAGCGAAGCATAATTAACAACAAGTTTTTTGCTGCTATCGGTTCTGTAGTATACCATGCATATTCATAAGTAGCACGGTGTATTTTTTCTGACTGAGAAAATGCGATTTATGTATATAAACTATTAAGCTATATCAATAAATATACACCAATAATAAAAATGTTGATTTTTGAAATCATTTCATGTTAAGTAAAATTTTTTATAGAAAAATTATGAAGCAAACACATACTCATAAAATTAGGCGAGCAATGTTACATGCATTATTTTAATGCCATTTTTATACGATTCCACTTACTTGTATCACAAGAATTTCACCAATGGCACAATAAAGAAACATGTGCAACAAGAAATATATAACCGCTGCCACGTTCCAACCCAATTGTATAAACGAAAATTGCTCTCTTTGTTTGACAACCTAGTTTGACACAAATGTAAGTTAAATGTCTTCTAAAATTCTGTATCTTCTGAAATACATTGTGTTACGTTGAAAAGTATTAACAAATTTGACACAACAAAATTGTTAAATAGCGGCATTTATCCACAAGTTTCTTCTGTATGTATTTTTTCAAATAGATGTGTGTCGAATTATAGAAAACTACTTAGGCAAAAACTACGTTAAGAGGGTATCATCGTTTAGAAAGTAAAAAAATCGATTTTCTTGCATTTTATGAAAATATTATATCGAATAAGTCGCTGGACTACTACTGATGTAAAAATGAAATGCATCAGATAAGAGAAATTTTACTCTCACGTAAAAAGTTTAACTGCACTAGGAGCTTGCTACTTTTTATGCATACGCAATTGCTTTATATGCATATTTATATGCATATGCATATGCAATTTGAAAATCTGTCGACGCTATGGTGATGATAACCTGCTTTGCGACGGCTATTATATACCGGCCCGAACAGCAATTATTTTCAGAAACTCTAGTATATAGGAGATGTGATCAAAAAATAAGGTGACTTTTCATTTTTATAAAAAAATATTCATTTATTCATCCAAAATTATGTTATCCCCTTCAAAATAATCCCCCTCTGATACAATGCACTTGTGACAGCGCTTTTTCCAGTCGTCAAAACACTTCTGAAATGCACTTTTGAGTATTGCCTTGAGCTCCTCCAGCGATGCAGCTTTAATCTTCTCAATCGTCACAAATCTTCGTCCTTTCATGGGCATTTTCAATTTTGAGAAGAGGAAAAAGTCGCAGGCGGCCAAGTCTGGTGAATACGGTGGCTGAGACATGATGGTAGTATTGTTTTTGGCCAAAAAACTACTCACTAGTAACGACGTGTGCGCAGGTGCTTATCATGGTGCAAAATCCATGAATTTTCTTTCTACACTTCCGGCCGTTTTTTTCTTATTGATTCACGCAAAAGCCGCATAACCTCAAGGTAATACTCCTTGTTTACCGTACGATCTTGTGGTAGGAATTCTCGATGCACAATGCCATGGTAATCAAAGAAAACTGTGAGCAAAACCTTCACATTCGAACGAACTTGGCGTGCCTTTTTCGGTCTTGGCTCTCCTGGGCTCTTCCATTGGGATGATTGGGCTTTGGTTTCGACGTCATAACCATATACCCATGATTCGTCACCAGTTATAACCCTTTTGAGCAGATCAGGATCATCATTGACGTCGTTCAACATGTCTTGGGCGATGTTCATGCGATGCTGCTTCTGATCAAAATTAAGCAGTTTTGGAACGAATTTCGCTGACACACGTGTCATACCCAAAACATCCTTTAAAATTGATTGGCATGAGCCGAACGATATGTTAAGATCATCAGCTACTTCTCTAATCGTGATTCGACGATTTTACAACACAATTTCTTTCACTTCCTGAACATTTTCGTCAATTTTTGACGTGCTGGGGCGTTCAGAGCGAGGTTCATCGTTAACATTTTCTCGGCCCTCTTGGAATAACTTATACCATTTATAAACATTTTTTTGCTCAAAGTTGACTCACCGTACGCCACTATCAACATTTCAAGAGTTTTTGAACACTTAATACCATTTTTTACACAAAAATTAATACAAACTCTCTGCTCCATTATTTTCAACAGCAAAAAATCACCGAGCACGCAAACACGAGTCTAACCTTTATGCCTCTCACATAAAAACAACACATGCTATATAATCAAAACTGTGAACATATGATCGTGACGAGTGTACCAACACAACAACAAAAAAATTTTGAAATTAGAGTGTACAGAAAGCGCGAAATTCAAAAAGTCACCTTACTTTTTGATCACACATACATGATCATTGAAGTTGGTATGTACTGAGACGAAACAACCAAATAAAAAGGCAATACTTTCGTCCGTTGCGAAATAGCTAAGAGGGACTCTAATATAAGCTTTGAAGAAACTATTCTTAAGTTTCCATCAAAATTTCGGGAAATTACAAATATTACAGCCTATTATTTGAAACGGCGTATAAGTTAAAATTAGAAAGTTTATAGGATCCAAAGTCTCATCAAATAATGAATATAATAACAGTCTTACGAACTTTAGGCAGGTATGAATGGCTTTGGAATTTTTGGGGACTTTTCAATATAGAAACTAGTTTATAATTTGTTCTAAATAGTCGTTTTCGTGTATTTATATGATTTAGGAACCGAATCACTTATGTTTTTTGTTCAATGGTCTCTGCTTATGGGTCGCTTAATTGTTTAAAGAAAGATGCTCAGCAATATTTTGAATTATGTACATTATGTAACGTCATCGAACCGCAATATAATCAGTACGAGTTTCGATACTGTTAAACGGGAGCACCGCGCGAATCGTCGAAACAGTGACAGCAATGATGAATTGCCAGAGAAGAGGGAAAAAAGTTGTTTGAGTTAGATATTCTATGCGCTTGGAATCGCAGATTAGACTGAAATTTACGAAAGTACTAGAAATAAATGATTAAATCATAATCGAAACTTTAAACTCGTTTTTTATGAAACGACATTTTTCAACCTGGCTTCCATGGCTAGACAAATTAATAAGCCGATCAACTTCAGCATATATCTAATACATTCGAATTTTTCTATCATTGGAACTGGCGGAATTACAATATATAATTTTTTTCATTTTATTTATAACGAACTGTCGATTTTTATGGCGATTTTGTAAATACAATTTTTACGCGCCTTAAAATTATAACGCGCGGTATCTCGTTATCGGTATCGGTATCGGTCAATCGTTCTTCGCTACTACACTGGTGTCCTTCTTGCCTCCACTAAGCAGTAAGAGGAGGTGCTGTTGCGAAACTCCGAGTTCGCGATCTTGCCGATGGTCCCGGGATTGCTCGCTGGATTGCCAGGTGTTCGTTGTTGGTATGATATGAATGAGCGAGTGAGTGAGTAAGTGAACGAGTTTTGCTCAAATTCGTTTTATTCAGTGTAGGTGTTGATACTAAGAAAAGTCGGTGTCTAACACCGGAATAATATCCGAGCATTTAATATAATTATAATGTTCGGTTCGTAAACATGGGCCGTCCCGTTTCTTGCGGTATTATGCTCGGTCTTGCCGGAGTATCGTTGCGTCGGTTTCGGCGAATAACAAGTGCCGTATATTCGCGGAAAGAAGGTACACGGCTCGCGATTCGCTAGACGTGATTCGGCTGTGCGCGCGGTCGCGGAGAGCGGGCGCGGTGTTGTGACTGTGAGCTCCGGTGTCGGTTGGTTGTTATCATGTGATGCGGTTGCTCTTTAACGCGTTTCTTTAGTGCAACGGTTTTGGATGCAGCTTTCGGATGTATGCACGGTTAGCCGAGTTGTCCCGCACACAGACGCTCCGGGACGACTGCGGAATTTGCGCCACGGGCCGAGGGCACGCGGTATCGTACCATTCGGCGAGTGGAGGCGGCGCGGCGCAAACGGCGGACGCGGTACGGCGGGCACAATCGGCTTGACGTGTGTTACGCCGTGGCGCGCTTAAGTCGGTTCAGGTCGCTCGCAGTGAACTCGGTACGGTGATTTCGTAGCGCGCAATTACGGCGCGTGGGCGGGGTACATGCGACGTTGCATGTCCCGGTAGCTGCAGCAGATTTCACGGATTAGGTCACGCAGGTTGACTTTCAGAACACACACTTGCCCCGATTTTCGCGAGTCCGCTGCAGAGTCGAGGCGGCGAAACCGAGAGTACTCGGCAGAAACAGCGAACGCACTACTTTGACTCGTCCAGCTCTCCGATCCCATGGACGCCGGGTACGAGGGTCGGGAAAACGGAGACGGCCAATTCACCGTCTCGGAGAGGATGTAGATTCTGGTGCCCGCGACTTTGACGGGAGAGACGGCGAACTCACTATCTCGTTTTTGCCGGGAGGAAAGGAAATCGAGTGCAGCTGCGAACTCACAGCCGTGACGACGCACACACCGTCGTGGTTCTTCGACCTGAGTATCGGGATCCGGAGCAGTCAGTGATTTTTCGATCTGACTGACTCTGGCGGATTCGGCTTCTTTTCCACGGTGGAGCGGATTTATATATTGCTTCTGCCGTGTTTACCGCAGTGTCGTTGCCTAGCAACGGCACGATCCACTATTTATCACACGCGTAACGTCGTGTTATTATACACTGTTGTCAAACGTGTATTGTGTTTTAATTATTGTAGCGCAAAGCGCCGGTAACGGCTCAACGGTTGATCGGTCGGGCCGCGGGGGGATTTGCACTGTGACGTATTGTCATAAAATAATCAAATAAAAGTTTGTTTTTATAATCAACTTTCAATGATAGCTAAAAAAATTTGTAAATATGTAATGATATTCACTTTTTGTTTCAGATCACTGAATGTTCAAATTTTGGGGGACCGTAAGACAACGCGCTCGGATACATCGAGAGAGTACTTTTGTAATTATTATAATTTTCATTACTTTTGCTAGTAAAAATCACGAATTATATATAAAATACGTATTAAATGTACATAATATATAAACTCACACATAGTTTCCGGAACAATGTTTTTAATACCTTTTTTCCAAACCCTCGTAATGATAATATTTCTATAACCATGTCATTTTATGCACAAATATTTATAGCTTACATTAACTATGAGAAATCCTTGAAAGCAGAATACTATGCCAAAGAAAAATATGTACACAAGCAGCATTAAATCGAAAGTATCGTCAATGATTTGAATGGACCTGTAATAGTAATGGTCCCTTAGAAAGTAATATAACTTTCAATTTTATAAAAAAGAATAAAGAAAATATTGGCGAGTATACAGTAGTTATAGCACAAACCAAGAAATTATACAAAAACTAAATTAAGTTAATTTAATCATATTTGATCATTAATAATGTTATTCTTTTATATATTTAAGTACTGCGATAACTTCTGTTTAGGAATAGTTTTATGTTATTTAGTTTACCTTAGCGATCTGTCATATATACCTAATTAAGCGAATATGATCTTGAACGTTGTATTTCAAAACTGCATTGAAGTCCGGGAATTTGTCCATATGTGACAAACGCGAATGCAGATTCTCTAGTTGACCGCATACATGTATAACCAGTAATCCGAGAAAGTTGTCGACCGCGGAATATGAGAGACAGGTTGCAAACATCACGATTCCTTGTGCCAGAAACGTTAACTCAAACTGCGGACTTTTGGAAACATCATGCAAGTAGTACGATTGCAACGGCAGTGGTTTTCCAGGGTCGGTTAAATTTGTCACTTGTCTGACCGTCAATCCGAACCATGGAAGGACGACGCTAATCATCAGTGACGATAGTATCAAAAACATTCCGCACATGGCAACTTTGCGAGTAATCGTGGCATACATCAGCATAACATCTTGCTCCTCTTTCATTTTCATCTTTATCCAATCGTTTTTGATCATATCAATTAGAGATGCTAAAGCTATAAGAACGAATGACGCGTTAGTATTTTAATACGCCAATATAATTTCGAATGTTTTATCAGATTGGTCAGAATGTCTTTCGTATTTTGCGTCGCCCCTATTTGGCGCGTCTGCATTTAAAGTAAACCATAAAAGAGAATAAATAGGGCGATTGTTTTTAATTGATCAAATTTCGCTGCACAAACTATTGCAGACGGATAGCGCCTGTGAATTTACAAAAAATTGCAAAATGGAGCTTTCAAAGTAGCAAATTAGGCAAATTTTGTTATACGAGTTGAAAAGAAACACCTGTCTCAGACCCATTTGTGAAGCTTCAAAACAAAATGTGATTACTATCAGGTCATGCTAATTTTAATTTGAAACATTTCGAAATGGTAATTGTAACCCGGAGGACGAGTCCAGCTCTGAAAAGCTTTCAGTCATCGCTAATAAGCACTTACGAAGCAGAATCGAAGAAACCCTGGATAATGCAACTCGCAAGCTCGAGACTGAATTCGGAGTAGTTCACGGAATTATCGTCAACAGCCTCCACCAATTTGGCTTTGGGTCAAAATTGGACAAGTGGGTGCCACATACGAGGTCTGTTCAAAAAGTATTGCGAATTTTGAATTTCCGCGGGTTACGTATATTCGATTTTCGATTTTTTTGTGGCGTTATGTTGGTACTCATGCCCCTCACTTATGCCGACAAGTTCGGCCATTTTGAATATTCAGTTTAACTTTGACAGCTGTTTTGCTTGGACGTGTTTTGGCTCGTCTTTGATTTTTGCCTATTCCAAAAAATGGATCAAAGAATCTAACAAAATTAAGTGCGCGGACGCATTCCGAATGTTGACTATGGCATATGGTGAAGCTACCTTGGACCGAAGCAACGTTTATCGGTGGTACAAAATGTTCTCAGAGGGCCGAGAAGATGTGAACGACGAAGAGCGTGCCGGACGCCCGAGCACGTCAACAACAGACGAAAACATTGATGAAGTGAAGAAAATAGTATTGGCCAATCGTCGAATCACCGTTAGAGAAGTNACACGTCGTTGCTTGTGCGCGAATTTTTGGCCAAAAACAACACACTAATGATGCCGCAGCCACCGTATTCCCCAGACCTGGCCCCCTGTGACATTTTTTTGTTCCCGAAACTGAAAAGGCACATGAAAGGACGACGCTACGCTACGATTGAGGAGATAAAGACGGCACCGAAGGAGGAGCTGAACAAGATCACAAAAAATGATTTTTTGAAGTGCTTCGAGGATTGGAAAACACGTTGGCACAATTGTATAATATCTGATGGGGATTACTTTGAAGGAGACAAAATAGATATTCATGAATAAATAAATAATTTTTGAAAGAACACAAAATTCGCGATACTTTTTGAACAGACCTCGTACTACAATCAAATCCACAAAAGAAATTAAGCCTTAAAAACTTAAAAAAACTAAAAGTTATATAGATGGAAAATACTCCACTATGCAATTTATACCTTCTTGTTTGTACCATATGATGCAGATTTTGAATATCGTCATCAATATAGATAGACTGCATTGCAAGTTATTTATCATTAAAATCATGTCGCCCCATATTCTTATCAGTGATGCTAAAACTGGTATCGCCAATACGCAGAGCAATGCGATAAATGTATATAGCAGTCGAAGTTTCGAACCTACGATCTTACGGGGGTCTTGGTTGTCTGGCGGCCACAAACCGATAATTTTCATCATCATCCGATTTAAACTAATGGCCCATTCTAAATCTGTCCTTAAAAATTTTTATTCGTGTTATATCTTGAAAGCTATAAGAAACTATATTCGTACAGTGTTTACGTGGAAAAATTAAAACACATCTACGGGAGAACGAAAAAAGGAGATAATATTCGAACGCATTTGAGTTTTTTAATTTTATCGAAGTTAGTACAAAAAAATAAAAAAATAATGATATTGTACAAAATATCTCAAGCACTTTTCAGTTTCCATGGTATGCAAATAGGGTGAAACTAAAGAAAAAATCATGTACCATTTCGCAAAATTTGCAATAATTAGTGAAAATTTAATTATTTTGTTTGAGTTAATGAATGTATGGGAGAAGGTAGGCCGGACACTGTATAAAGAAAAATGCTTTATTTTTGGAGACCTCCTGGCAACAATGAACATCAACTGATTTTTAAAGTCAGAATGAGGTAGCAAGTAGCGAACGGCATGTGATAGAGTTGTGCGTCGAGAAGAAGAAAACCGCACATTATCAGTTGATACCTATTCTTGTTAGAAGATTGTCAGAAATATGCCATTTCTTTTTACAGAAATTCCGGCTTATCGTTTTCTATTCGCTCATTAGCTCAGACAAAATAATTAATTTCTCTATTCCACTTTTGCAAATTTTGCAAAATCATACATGACTTTTCTATTCAGTTTCACCTATTCTACCATTCATCACGAAAACCAAGAACGGTTTGGGACACTTTGTATAATTACATTTATAAAGTATCATCGAAAATAATAAAAAACTATTTAAATATTGCACAAAACAAACAATTATTGTTTTCTTTCAAGCTCAATATTTCCAAACAATTTATTTTGATTAACTTCTTATTATCGTAATAGCACATTTGCAAATCAGTTGGTAGAAAATAGATAAAACATTAATCTTTATACAATAGTTTTAAATATGGAAATAACTGATCGGAATAAATAACAGTGAACTATAGTAACGGCAAGGAATACCATTATAACTGCTCGAACAATCCATACTATGGTTCAAAAGTGTACTGTTTTACTATCGACGGAAAATCGTCCCCACATTTGTGATTGATTTCTAATTGTTATCATGCATGCTCTCGAAAGAATTTTCAAAAGTTCCATATCGCCGAAGTAAATGCTAATATAACTAGAATAAACATGACGCACAATGCCGAGATGTAATATCTTTTTATCGACGTGCTCTATTGGACAAAGGTATGAGTAAATAAATTATCATTGTGAGAGGAACAACATGAGAAATATCCACTGTGATAAAAAGTTCCACCACTGTTTCTTTGCTATTTCGTATTATTTTGTTTTTTGCCGCTACACATTTGTATATGATGGATTGCGATCATGTAGATAAATAATTTTTTACTTGATTATACAAAACGTGCGAAAGACATTTGAAAACTTTAGGAGAAACACGGAACGTCCACATCTTGTAGATATTTTTTGCAGTTCTTCAAAATTTGTCAACTGGAAAAAAAATTACCATCGAAGGTTTAGAGCACTTGGATAGTGCATTATTAATGAATCTCTAACCGTTGGGATATTTTCAGTAGACAGTTGAAAGGAAGCAACCTGATGGGAAAGGCTACGTTGACAGCAATTATATCGATTTTGCTATCACGCTTCTACAATTTAGAATATATGTGGAATATGAACTTTTCTGTATAAAATGGAGACAATAAATGGAGTTTGAACTTTTGTTTGATACGCACAAGGTATGAATCTAATAGTTCATTAACGTCATGTTATATATTTAAAAGGTCATATTATTAACATCAGCACTTAGGCATATAAACTACTCTTAAATCATTTATACATTTTTTAACACATTGTGGTTCGCTTTACAATGTCGTGTTTTTGTTTATGTTACTGTTCACTGACCAATTAATGGCGCGCGAATTGTGAGGCTATAGTCCGCCAGTAACATAATCTTACTGCGATGTAAAAACATTAAGTTTATGAACATTAATTAAGCAAAATATTTTAACTTTAATAAACGCTGTTATATCGACACTTATTTAGAATCGATAAAATGTCGTTAAATATGACTCATAAGCCCAATTTTCTTGACTCAGATAACGCAATAACTTCATATAGAAAGCGAAACTCAAATGTTAATGGCTCGATTATTTTCTCTTCTTTATCTATGTATTTCTTCTAATTTTATTTAAATATTTGGCGTACAAATGAAAAATAAAAAATTTTCAGCTTAATCAAGATTTACTTTAAAAGAAGTAAAACAAATTCTTCAAAGTAATCGACGTTGCTTTCTATAACTCTAAGCCATCTTTCAGGCAGCTCATGAGTTCCATCTTGGAAGAATGCTGTGTTTTTGAACTCAATAAAGTCTTCAAGCCATTTTCGTCCACTCGCCCACTCATTGGAAGTGAGTATCGGGCAAGGCATGTTACATCGGACGGAACAAGTGATAATCGGATGAAGAAGTGTCTGGTGAATACGCCGGGTGCTGCATGATGTCCCAGCCAAGATACATTATGTTATCTTTTGTCTTGAAAGCAATGTGTGGCCTGGCGTTGTCATGCGATAATTTCATAGGACGTTCTCCTTTGCCAGTATACGGGCATTTTTGTTCCAATTCTTGACACAAGCGGATTAATTAACGTTGGTAGCAGTCCGTAGTAACTGTTTTATCCGGTTCCAATAGTTTACACATGACTTTCTGCGTTACGGATTGTCATAGAGTATCCATTTCTTATCGCCCGTAACGATTTTACACAAGAAAGACTTTCCACGCTGCTTATTGAGAAGAGAAAATCACGCTGCCACTTGTTGATTTTTGTTGGTTTCTGTAAGTTTATGCAAAACTTATTTTCCTCCCTTATGGATCTTATCCATCTCATGTAGGCGTTTGGAAACGGTTTGCTGCACGATGCCCATCTGCTCTGCAAGCTTCTTTAGCGTTTGTGTCGAATTCTCAACGAGCAGTTGTTCCAAATCATCGTTGTCGCATTTTTGAGGCTCTCCGAAACGTTGTCGTTGGTCAGAGTGAAATCACCGTTTTTAAACGGCTTAAATCAAAATACGCACACCTTGTACGATACAACATCTTTGCCGAGAAAAGAACAAATCGATTCGCATGCCTTACAGCAGTTTCTCTTCGTTGGAATTCATAAGGAATACAGTGTCGGATATGCATTTTATCCGTTGCCATGTTTGACTGTAATAAACTGAATACTTTTAAAGGTTAGAGTGGGCTTATCTCCATACTAAATGGCATTTTTAATAACTATATATCAATACTACGCAACCGCAAAAGAGCGGTATAATCAATTAATTTTTAAATTAATTTCTTATCTTCTTAAACACATTTGGATAATTCATTTTTTTTGAACGCTCAAAAAGTTATAGGAGTAAGCGCCGATTCAATTTACCGAAACGGTGCAAAGTTGACGTGTTAGAAGATTACGTGCTACACGCCACATAGGGGACCCGTCCGGTTGCTCTCGTCGATAACGCGAAAGCGAGAGCGCGCTTTGCACATTGACAGACGAAGAGCTTATCTTTTGGCCTTTCGTTTCCAGTCGCGATAGGATCCTCTGCATTGCCTACAAAGCGCGTGACAAACGATTCGCCGACGCACGACGGCCGTGAAAGGTCCTTCGTAAAGCGGTTAGCCGCCGAGTTCCCTTGTCCCTCCGGGCGGAGTGGAGCTGCTCTCTTGGTGACCTGTCAGTTACCCTGAAGGCCTTTCCGGACATTTTAGCGCATACACGGTGCCGCGGGGAGGTTCAATCTGCCCCGTGTACTAAATTCTCCGTTGGAATTAGGGAGTGCGTAGTAGATGCACATGTGGACGATTCTTAGCGTCCACGTCCCATATGAACAGTGCTTGTCGTCGAGAACGCTTTGGAGACGACTCGTCGCTCCGCATTTAAGTCCCTCTGTGGACTTAGTCTACATGCGTCTTGGCGCTAGATGAGAACTGCTCGTCTGTACGCGAGCTCGGTCTCACAAACTCGCGGACGCGGGAAGACGACGTCTGGCGTTCCCGAAGGCGATGTCCACAATGGACGATCGCGCTCGTCGAACTATGCTCGATCCTCAATTTGGCTGTGGAGCCAATTAGTTGTTCTGCGGAGGTGCTCGGCGAAAGTATCTTTCGGTCTTCTGCCTGTGGCGCAAACGGCCACGATTGCAGAACGAAGTTCTGGCACCATAAGAAATCGTGGCACTTAAGGCTAAACCACCTTCAACGACAACGACCTTACAATGCCTAACACAGAATCGAATTGTACGCGAGACTTACGATCACCGCTTCGTTAATCTGAGAGCGATGGAAGACGAAAAGGGTCTGTGTTCTCTATTACGTAGCGGTCTCTTTTAGCCGCCTGCGAGCAAACTCGTCCGCGCGCAGACCACCCTGGCGGCGCGCCGCCTCGCAACGTGCGCTGTTAGCTACGGCGGCAAAAGTCTGGCGTGCTCGAGACAATTTTGTCTGGAGCGCTGCAACTCGGCGTTCCTGATTCTGGAAGTGGCGAGGCTCGCTCGATCCTGTCGTCCTGGAACAGGATGTACGCAACATACATCGCTTACTCGCGCACTCGTAAGGCTTAACGTACTGGTAGGTCTGCAGATCAGGTCAAGGTCCGGAGAGGCCCATTTACTCCGATCACAGAACGTACGTTAGGTGATCGTTTATTTAGGTCAAAGACCTTAATCTCTCTACCTGGGTTAGGACCATATGAGAGTGTTGAAAGGAGAACTCGGATTTAAGTAATTGAAAGGAAATGAATAAATAATTTTAACAACTTGGTTAAATTTAGGGCCTTTTTAATAAAACAGTTTATTAATTATACTAATAACATAATTTGGTTCTCACATGGAATAATAATAGTGGTAAACTGATGAGAAAAGTCATTGTAAAAGATACAATATTTAAAAGATGAAAGGGTTAGCTAAAGTTAAACAATGGGATATATGGGTTAACATTAAACAAACTTTTAAAAATCAGCATTATTGGAATAATGCAAATACAAGATGAAGATTAAAATA